AACTGAAAGTCCAACTAAGAGGCAGTCACACCTTGTGTGATAAGGTGAAAATACCATCTGCTCCAAGAAAATGTGAACATTGGGTCACATAGATAGGTACATAAACATAGTGGGTGATTTAACCCATTAACCCTGGTAAATGGGCAGAAAGTACTTCAGCCTTCCAATAAAAAGGGACTCATTCAACTGACTAGTTAGCAAAGGAACCAGATAGCTGTTGTCCACCTAAAAAAGAATAAATGTTATGACCTAGGTATTTGTAAAAGATAAGTAACCCGACGTAGATGAAGGTCACTTTTCTCTTCTATGTAATTAATTTCAGCATATCTTTAAGCAAGAGTTATGGTGTGCACACAATAAATTGTAAATAGCCTGAGGCTAAAATATGAATTATTAATACATTCTTTGCCAGTATATCTAACCCCTGTTGGATAGTGTTCTCCTGTTTATATTAGCTCTGTACGTGTCGCTAATAAGAAATAAGCATGGTTGATAAATGGTTACATAAGGAGCTATGTGGAGTGTTTTGCAAGTATGGAGAATTCGTATCTTGTAGGTTTCAATGAATCTCTCAATGAAACGGCAGAAAGTTCTGCATTATACATGACTGTGGAGGAACTATACTCCCACATGACTAATAATGAGTTTCAATGACCTTCACAGTCTGCGTTGCAGCTTATTGTGCTATCTCTATGTGTGACGCATTATATTCACCTATGTTTCTGATTGTGCTTCCTACCGGTACAATAGGTGTAGTAAGTAGAAAATGATCTACAAACAACATAAATGTGACATTTCAAGGGCGCTATCATGTATTTTCCGTTTACACTGAATTTGGGTTGTTTTTGTAAAGCATACCTGCAAAGTAATTTTGTTGGGATATTCACGTTACCTGTGTGCTGTAAAATGTAATTTATTGCAGGAATTCTGGAGTGAGGTGTTAGTCGCCGAAGTGCCCAGTGAGAGAAATTTTAAGCCCATAGATAGAAAAATAAATTCATATGAAATGTAGCTTTTTTTAATATCCTGAATTCTCTTCTGGTTCATACTGGGGACATAGTATGGACACCACCTCTACTTCCAATGTAATTTGTGAAATGGAGAAACGGGAGGAGCATTCTTACTGGCTTAGTACCAGGTTAGCAGGGAGTAAAGTAGGTTCTTACTTTCCAATGCTTCCTGGATATTAAAGACGAGGATGACAGTTTAAGTATAATATACAATGTGTCCTATTTCTTAACCACCCTAGAAGTTAGCAGTGTGTAATGATTATAGAACATCCAAAACCTGTCAAGAGGGCTTTTATCCAACTTAAAGGGTTAATAAATCCTCCGGTGCTTTTGCATATATCTACTGTTAGCAAGCAGTAGATACATGCAAAAAGTGTAAAAATAAATAAACGCTTTTAAAGCGGTTTAAACCTACCTGTGTCTTCGCCGCGCGCTCCCGTTCCGAAAATGTTAAAATTCTCGGGCGGCCGCAAAGCATCTTGGGGCAGGCGCATGCGCAGTTCACATTTTCGGCCGGGAGACGAGGAGAGACACAAGGTAAGTATATGGACGCGTGCACCCGCATGCAGACACCGTGGGACAGGAAGTGCCAGCAAGGACAGAGGAGTCAGCACTGGATCGGAGACCTGCAGCAGTGCTGGAGGGACAGATGAAAAGGACAGGAAAGAAGAGGAAGATCGGATTAAGAAACATCATTTAAGGTAAGTGCTTTAACTAACATTGGGGGAGGGAAAAATATCTTTGACTTTGATGTCACTTTAAGTCTCCTATATAGTTCTGAAGTAGCTATTGCTCAATTCTTGTAAGATGTGGTAGCTCCAGGGCAAAAATGAATGCCAGCACTCCTCAATTGCAAATCTGTACAGACTTTACATAACCAATATGTACAGAGCTGTGCCTTTAAAAAGGAGTCCTGGGAGGCTCTGAAATCTGAGCTTTTTTGTTCACACGTTATATTAAAAGCCTTATAATTATTTCAAGTATTTAAATAGCACCAACAATTTACACAGATGTACATTCACATCAGTCACTACCCTCAAGGAGCTTACAATCTAAGGTCCCTGGCTCACATACATACATAGAGGGCCAACTTAGAGAGGATCCAATTAACCTTCCAGCATGTCTTTGGAGTGTGGGAGGAAACCAGAGTACCCAAGGGAAACCCATGCAAGCACAGGGAGAACATGCAAACTCCTTGCAGATAATGACCTGGCCAGGATTTGAACCGGTGACCCCCAGTGGTACAAGGCAGAAGCGCTAACCACTATGCCACTGTTCTGACTTCACAATTGTGGTGGCTGTTTTTCTGTTTCAAAGTTTTTATTAAGTTTTCAGCGGCATATAGGATACAAGACACAATGATCAACAGTGAGATGCATACATACATATCATAGAAACATGGAAACGGTGATTTTTGACCAATGGCGTAAACTTGTTCTTATATAAACGGTGCCCCCATTTGTCATTGCAGCCATGTGATCCATAAAGATATGGCAAAAAGGATAGCATCTACAGTCCTCTATTTCAAGGGCAGACATTCATATAATTGTGATGATGGACAGGTTTCTACAGCAAACCAGCACCACCTCCAGGAGTTGGCCAGTGGCAACCACTAGCCTTGTGTTGGAAGCTTGGCTGGGACAGATAGCAAATACCCAGACAGGTTCTCTTTACCAATAGACTGATCCGATGTTTTATTGAACCTCTATATCTTTAAATAATGAAGGATTTGAATCCTGCATGAAAACATATTTCCATGTTCTCACTCACTATGACTGAGCCTATTCAGGCCTTACATTTTTCCTGCATGTGGGCAGGTAAGTGGCTCAAGCAGACCAATCTGAGTTGTTTTCTCATTCATCCAGAGCTTAGCAGCAGAAATACCACCCTGGTCATGATGGTATCTCTCTACACTCAACTTGTACACATTTATACAATGGTTACATATGTTTGGTTTGTTAATTACATTTATGGCTCTAGAACAGCTTTTCTCAACCAGGGTTCTGTGGAACACCAGGGTCCCTTCAAAGGTTTCCAGTGGTTCCTTGGGCAGTGAGCAATTTATAATTGCTTACTACAGTAGTAGCACTCTCAATATATACATTGTTTCTGTTTTGTTACCACAGGGTTCCTCCTCCTGGTTTTCAATGAGCTTGCACACTGTGTCCTATGTTCATTTACCTCCTCCAGCTAGTTTGTATCCCTTGGTAGTGCGCTTGTCCTTTTGTCCTTGTTTTTCTGTGGTGAAACTATAAATACCATGTCTCTGCCTCTGGGAGTCATGCCTTAGACTGCCAGAGTCTTTACAATACCTTGTGTGTAGTTTCACCACAGCTTGCAGGCCAAGTTTGATTACCCCTACTATAGATGATGCCTACAAAATGGTGCCATCCTTTTTCGAGATAAAGGCAAGTGAAGGCATTGTCAGGGGGAGTATCAGGATCTCAGTGAGAGGTAATACAGTAAATGCTTAGAAGTATTACAATTGCACATTACTGAGTATGCATGCACTTAACATGGAAAAATATATCTGATGCTATGTCCATGTTAAAATACAGTACATTTATGGGGTTTACATTTATACCTCACAAAAAAAGGCTACTGATTTCCTTTTAGAGGCCACTTCTATAATAATACCATTTAAGATCAATTTGTGATTTGCTGATTATCAGTTTAGACCCTGATCGTTGCCAGATGCTGTTTCTCTGCCATTGTTCAGTTGTTCTCCTTTGTGTCTGGCTCATCTACTGAAAGTACAGAGACGTCCTATTACTCTCTGCCTCCTAGGTGAATGTCATGATTTATGAAGTGGTTGCATTAAATCTAATAAGAATGGTACAAGATCATCCACACTCGGCTAAATTAGATCTCGGCATTACACACTTTGCATAATTACTGCATGCTTGTTTAATTATCGGGAGACAATCGTGAACTAAAAACTGTAACATGTCTGATGGGGAATGGTTTATCAATCTGAGAAAAAAAATTCTAAATGTCATACAGAAATCATTGAGGAAAGAGTGCGTTCCAATGAAATAATTCATTCAGTTTCTGGTTAGTTCTCTCTAAAGCCAGTTATACAAAGGTCATTTTAAAAAAGCTAACTCCAGACAAAACCTTATGCTTTTTTTTTTTAATTATGAGTGGGGAAGGGGTTAATACACCTGTCAGATTTTTATATGTGTCTAAGTTCTTACTGAGAAGACTTCTCAAGTGTTGGGAAATCTCTCCAATGGAGAGATGGACTGAGCGGGTTAGAGGCAGTGGAGTGTACAAGTTTTTATTGCTGTGCCAATCCACTGTTAAAAGTCCAGAACAAGTTTTATTGATCATCAGCAATATAAACCAATATAAAATGCATTTCAAGGGTTACAAGGGCCCACCTTCTGCTGGGCTAGAGAAAACAAAGATTGGGGTCTGGACTGGAGAGATAGGAGAAATAATTAATGCAAGGTTAAAGTGACAGTAAACTCAGGAGTTAGATATTAAAAATGCATTCAAGTACCCTAACGATTAACAAAAATGTATCTTATTTGTCTATCACTCAGCTGTAGATCCTCCAATCATCTCTGAATTGGCGCTGACACTGTCCTTCCTTCTGGAGGGGGGATACTTTTGCTCCCCATGGTCCCTGTGTGTGTTGTAAAGTAGCCACCGCTCCAAGCTCGCTCCTGTGATGGACTACAATCTCAGTACAAATTAGTAAACTAAATGTGAGATTGTAGTCTATCGTGTGAGCAAATTTGACCATTTCTTGAAAAGGTAAAGAAAAAGCTGAGCAGGACACTTACTATCACAGAGGATGCCCTAATACATTTCACAAGATATGGGATAGCTGGCTAGAATACTCGAATTCTGCGGCAGACACTGCATCGTAATGTTGTGAGGTTTTCATCTCTTTGATGTATAGTATCTCTACCCTTAGATGATATAATTGCTCTTTTGACAGGAAGATTTGTGTGTTGCTTCTGGATCTTCTCTTTTTCTTCTTTCTTTGTTTATTTTTTATACCTTAATGTAGGTTGTCTCAGTGGGTGAGCCACATTAGGAAAGGTTTCCCAATGTTTTTAGTGCTGTTTTGTTCTTATTGCACTTTTGTACTGTTGTATGAGTTGTTATATAGTTTAGATTTTTATATATGCAAATCAATAAAAATATATATATATTTTTTAAAGAAAAAGCTTAGGATATAGACCAACATGTTAGGATTATCTTAGGGCAAATGTGGCCCAAAGAGGATCACTGCATCTTGTGACGTGTTTCATTGGACTTTGTCCAACAGTGTGTGGTGGTGGATATATTTGTGATATAAATTTTGACTATGCTTTGAAAAAACTTGATGATATAGTTATGACCGTCCTTACTGTAAAATAATGAACTCTGAGCTGTGATCTTTTTGATCACTAATTTAAAATTTAAGGACTTTCTAATGTGGCCCATTGATCCCATTGATTTATCCTACATGTTCTTAAAGAGGTGGTTCCTTTATTTACTGCTTACCATATTTGTCTAAAATATTTATCTACTAACTGTTTTTTGTAATCCTAGTATTACCAGCTTTATGGTTTATACCCTAAGCTTTTTCATTACCTCTCATATGAATATATTTTTGTATAGAAGTCTGGGTATTTTCCAGCATATAAAAAACAAAACAAAACACATTGTTCTATCAAACAGTAAAAAGCAGAAATTGAAATTGTCTTCCTCTTTGTGCAGATTTGTATTTCTGTCTGTGTACCTGTTGCATATTTTCCCTTATTTCCTGTTTGGTGTAACTGTTGTCAGCAGGACAGAATATGAGGGTATATCTCTCTCTCTTTCTCTCTCTCTTGCTCTTTCTCTCTCTCTCTCTCTCTCTCTCTCTCTCTCTCTCTTTCTTTCTCTCCCGTAAAAATAGCAACCCTATAGGAGGTCTAACTTTCTCTCCCGTAAAAATAGCAACCCTATAGGAGGTCTAATTCTTCCCTACTCTGGCCTGACTCCTTTAACTTGTTTGCTGCCACTGGGGTGGTTTTTTTTGCAGGAAATAACTTTTCTGTATGCAAATATGAATACATAAAGGTAATTTTTAATGTAATTGTTTAAAAAGGTAGATTAGCTATAGTTTGAGTAAATTTGCTTGTTGTTTTAGAGAATCAGTGCATTTGGAATCCAAAGCTGTTTTTCAAACTCTCATAACTGGTGAGAAAGCTCCGGAATGTTTTCCTTCTCTTTTCTGAGCTGAGGCTAAACTCGTATGTTTGCTGCTTGCATTATGTGCCTCCCACAATGAGATTGTGAGGAAGCATATTCAGCGTTGTTTTGCAAATAATAAATTATGTGATCATGAATTTTACATTTCACAATTTGCAGTCCTTACAAGGCTACGAGAGCCTCAGACAGCAGACAAGAAAAGTAAGAAAGTACTTGAAATAAAAATAATTTCTGATTATATCTGTGGTGAGTCCCATTGTCCTCCAGTGCAACACCACCGTTGCCCACCTCCTGGTCTCCACCTAAGCCAGAGGAGGACTGGATATTCTATGTCATGAGGGGCAAACATAACCAACTAGCCATTTTATGGTAAGGACAGATTAAAGCAAGCTAAACAATATGTACCTTGCATAATGTGCCATGGTGCAATATTGATGGTGGGTATGGTGAAAGGTGGTTTTTGCTAAAGGAAATGGTTTATCATGATTTACCTTTTCACATATCTCAGCATCAGATATCAGATTCCTTTGTGGCATCCAGTCACATAAAATTTCAGAGCTGCAAAAGGAAATTGGTTGTGGAAGACTTTCTTATGCTAGATGCTGTGTTTGCAGGTCGGAGAACAGGTAGCTATATAATGTCCACTATGTGACACTAACTGCAGGTTCTGCACTCATTGATGCCTTAATGGTGACATTTCTTCACTCAGGGACACCAGCATAGCATACCTTATCAGTATTAGCCCAGGGGCAAAAAGGCCCCACTTACCCCCGGCCCAGCCCTCCCGTGCCCTTAGATCACTTGTCTCTTGGCTTAAAATGTCAGGCTCTGGAGCTGCAACCTAGACATGAAATGTGCATTTTGGGGGAGCCCAAATCTCATTAATAGCCAGTGCTTTTCCCCGAAAATGATAGGGTTGTGGGAAGTGTTACATTGCTGGGGAGTAACACATAGCTCCCAAATGTCCCTCGTTGGAGGGACTGTCCCTCTTTTGGCACCATCTGTTCCTCTTGCTTCCTAAGCTGTGTGTCATTTTGGCCTGATGTATAATCTTATATGTATATACTAAACAACTACCAAAAGGGTTATACTACACTAAACCTTTCATCCATCCTCTTAATGACTGCATTTGTTTTTTTGAAATTGTTCTATTAATAAATGCTCTTGGTCCATGTAATTGGGTGCATGGCAGGGGTGTCCTACATATTCATATTTTGTGCTAAAGGTGTCCTTTCTTGTCATCTCAGTACTTTGTGATGTATGAGTAACATTTGGAGCCATGTCTGTCCAGTAACTACTGCTTTTATAACCGTTTATTTCTTCAAATATAGGCCCAGTGCAATATAAAGTGAGACTTCCGGCCATCCATATCACTTATTACTGTATCAGTTAGTGACATTAAAATATATTGTAATTGCATGAAGTATTGCCCCATAATGCAGCCTGACTCATTTCATAAAAGCATATGGGAGAAGCCTATATTTTTTGTGCATATTTTTTTTTTCTTTATTATAGTGAGGACTAGACCTGCCCTCTTCAACCAGGGTGCTGCGGCAGCCTTCTGGCATTTCTTAGGTGTGACTTAAAATTTTTGCACAGCACCATGCAATTCCATCATGCAGATAGGCCAGCTGCCAGCACCATGGAAATAAATTACACTAATCCAGAAGGTTGGGATCCACTCAGAAAAGAACGGAAGTTTGCCTCTGTCCAGGCCTACTGTTCCTCCCAGTCTGAGGACGCTGACATAAAAGGGGAGGCGCTCATGCGAAGGGGGATCCTGATGTTAAAGGGGGGCTTCTGCTGTGAAGAGGGCTCTTGATGTGAAGGTGGGCTTCTGATGTGAAGGGGGGACACTGATGTGAAAGAGGGTGACTCTAATATGAAGGGGGGCTTCTCATGTGAAGGTTGAGCCCCTAGGGTGAGAGGGAATACTTTGATGGTTTTGTGTGGGTTTACCCTTTAAAACCCTTATTTTTTTCATTTTAGACTGGGATGCCTCAAGATTTTTCATACTTTTAAAGGGTGATCTCACGTTCTGGGGACTGGGGCACTGGGACACATGGACTCCGGGTTTTGCAGAGCGGTCTGAAGCAGGGAACGGGACTAGGAAGCTGAAGTTATACCTGAGATGCAGGCCACAGGGAACCGAGGGACTAAGGTGACTGTGCAAAACATGGGAATCCAGACAAAGGGTACTAGAACAGGGTGACTGCACAATAACCAGGTTTGTGTCCCTCTGACATACCCGTGCAGTCTCTGTACATTGGAAACAGCACTGGAGAACTGGACTCAGTAGTAGGAAGACTGGATAAGACTGATAACACAGAGGTGCAGGATATACCAGGGGATGTGCACAGGGAGACGAGTGTAACACAATACTGGAAGATGCACACAGGGAATCGTGCATTGCAGTGGGAGATGCACACAAGTGACGGTGTGTTGCACAGGGCCTCTGGATACTGGGGGAGCACACTGGGGAACGTGTGTAGCACAGGACCTATGGGCACACTGGGATATATGCACAGGGGAATGTGCGAAACACTAAAAAGTACACACAGGAGGATATACTGGGAGATGTGCACTGGAAGATGTGCGTAGCACAGGGGCTAAGGTTGCACTGGGAGATCACACTGGGGAACGTGCATTGCACAGGGGCTACAGATACACGTGGAGATCACACTGGGGAATGTGCATAGTACATGGGGCTACGGACGCACTGGAAGACGTGCGCAAGGAATGCACAGGGGAATATGTGCTGCATTCGAAGATATACACAGGGAGACCTTCGTAGCACAGGGGCTACGGATATACTGGGGGATGAGCACCAGCAATGCACAGGGAAATGTGCGCTGCACAACTACACAAGGAAACAGGAACGGAACACAGGGAAAGAGGTGCGAGATATACAAGCAAGGAAGGGAAACCAATAGTACTCTCAGTGACAACTAGGAATAACAGCATATTCCTAGTTGTCACTGAGTGACACAAGTAACAGCAGAGAGAGAATAAGCCAACTGGGAGATCACAGTGAACACACGGGCAAGCCAGAAGCACAAGAATCCAGGGACGCACGAGAACACAGGGAATCACGAAGGGTCCGGCGCAAGGGAACAGACTTGCTCGAATCCAGAGCAACAAGTGAGGAAATCCTAAATAGGAGAGAAAGTGCAGGCTGCAGCCCAGTGAAACACCATAGGCTGACAGCCAAACACCTGGGACCAAGAGGAAAATCATGCATGGATTCCACGTCATTGTGACAGGTGCAATGACTGAAAAAAAGGTTAAGAAATGCTGGATAAGACTATAACATTAAAAAAAAATCTGTTTAATTATCAATGTAAATAACAAATATTGCATATTACTATTATGTAGCCTACAAAGAACATACCCATTCTGAATTGGAAATCCTTTACCACGTATTCAATTTTTTATTGTAAAACAAAGATTGTATGTAGATAGTAAAAAATCAAATATAAAACAGTTTAAAACTTATAAAATAATTTTAAAAAATGCATCCAGAACCTTTATACTGTAATTTAGCTTTTAATTGTTTAGTGCATTGTACAAACCCTACTCCTGTTTCCAGGCAAAGCCAGTGGTGGCTTGACCTACATCGATTTTCTGCTTCCTTCATGTGCCCCAAGTCCCTTGTGGTTCCCTATACACAGTGACGACATGTGTGTAATGGGCTATACAAATATTTCAGCCATCTACTCAAACGTAATGTTACTAATATATATTTATTTTCCTTTTCAGTCACAAAATCCGCAAAGCTGTATCCGACTGGTGGATCGCTCGATTTTTCCCACATTATGATGCAAGGGGATGGACGGAGGAGAAGAAATGATAATTATTATGATGATATACCAAGATCAAAGCTTGAAAGACAAATGGCTCAGGTAAAACACTTGTAAAATGGTATAAGCATATGCCATGCTAACATATTCGATTCTAGATGGTAGAATGTAACTGTAGTTGAAGAAGTAAATCTTAGGTATTCTTTGGCTAATCGTGCATGTAAGTGATCAGGCAATGGTCAAGTGTCTAGACTTTACCTGCCAAGTAGGACAGGTAGGACTGTCCTGGCCAATATCCTCCTTTCCCCTGACTATATTAATATATTTTACATCCATGTGTTCAAACTCCTCCTCCCCACTTACTATTACACTGACCCAATTCGGATACTGTATATTTATACCTATTTACCCAAACTCCTCCACCCCTCTAAACCTAGTATAGATATGTCACCCCCATTTGTTCAAACTCCTCTTGTCTTACTGCCCCACAAGTGGTTACTACAGCTCAGACAATTGCACTCTGAATCATCAGTATTGTGTATTTTAAAGAAAGTTCCTTTTCCATTCTCCATAAAGCACTGTGATAGGCTCTTATCACTTGTGGTTGTGAATGCTTTGAGGTTGGAGTTTCTGACATTACATTCGGAAACAACCAACAATCCCAGATGTGAATGCAGCATTAGATATTTCACACCTACATAGCCAATTACTGAAATTCGTCCGATCCGTTGATACATTTACATATTCCATGTCTATTGTACTTGCCCCAGCACCTCCTTCCCTCTCACCATATCTAGGTATTTTACACCCACACAACCACTTGCCCAAATGACTCCTCTCCTTTGATGTATTTACACATTTCAAGTCCCATTGCCCAAACTGCTCCTGCCCCTTTGACATATTGTCATATTTCAAGTCCAGTTGTCCAATCTTCTCCTTCCCTTTGACATATTGACATATTCCGAGTCCAATTGCCCAAAGTTCTTCTACCCTTTGACATATTTACATATATCAAGCCCAATTGCCCAAACCTCTTCTCCCTTCTCCCCTTCTCCACACCCACATAGCCACTTGCTGAAACTCTTCCTATCCTTTAAAACAATTTACATATTCTAGGTCTATTTGCCCAAGCTTCTTTTCTCCTCTTTCCATATTTATATATATTTCAGCCACTTGGCCAAACTCTTCCTCCCCTTTGACACATTTACATATTTCAAACCAACATGATCAAAGATCTCCTCTTGCCATATTTATATATTTCCCACCCAGAGAGCCACTACCCCAAGCTCCTTCTCCATACCCACATTTGACAAACCTTTCTCCTAAAAGGTGGGACAGTCCAGTGAAACCTGCAATTCTTGGGAGGTATGATGACAGATTAACCTTGTGTGCTAAACAATGTTAGATTGCTTTTAATGGGATATAATATTTTAAACACATAAACAATGAGGTTTGGTTCTACACTTTCTCACTGTCTTTCAAAGTACATTGAGTTCTGGGGAATTCTTGAGAAATAAACATAACTTCTAAGATTTATAAGAAAATATTTGCTAGATATCCTTCAAAATGAAGTAGACAAGATTTGCAAATTATTGTTATTATCTAGTACCATATAGTCGAACTATAGTACCTGAGCACATTGATCTGGGGTTGAAGTAAAGACAACACTTTAATCTGTGTGCGATTTTATTGTTAAGAGAATTGGAAACTGATTTAACACTCCTATCTTTCTCTGAACAAAAAAAAATTATTAAAGGGTATCAAAACTCTTACCACAAGCTTCTCTTATTTTGTCCCTTTTGGTTTGTTAAATATCTGATTGAAAGCATTTTTTTATACAGAGTGTATGACTGTCTGTGCTCTCCGCTTCCGCTGTACTAATCAGTTACATTGTTTATGGTCTACAGAACACCTCCTCCTATGTTATGTCCTCCTGTGCTATGGTGACAACTCTGCTTCTTTATATACCGTGCAGAGTAATGCTGTCACATTGCCATGTAAAAATAATGGAAAAAGAGTGTGATTAAAATAATCCAAAACAAAACCATACAGCCATCTTATCTAAGGACTGGTATCTACCATTTATTACATTTTTGTTCTTGGGTTTAGATATGCTTTTGAAAGAGAACCTTTTTTTTTTTTTTGATGTGTTTCTCTTTTGGGTCACAGAAGTAAATTTACTAATGCACTCCTGTGACCCAAAATCAGCATATAGCGGGCTACTGCTGGGGCGTAATCTCTGCAGGAAGTGTTGGCTGACAATCACCACTCTCTGCAGTGAAAAGGCCGTGAGCTGAGCGATGAGCGGTTTGTGATCGCTCAGTTTGCAAGCTATAGAGCCAGTGTGTGACAGCTGTAGTGTCACAGGTCGGCTCAAACTATTGAGAAAAATACAATTTACTTCCAATAATTCTCCCTCAATTAGCAAGGGCTTGATTTGAAGGTCAGTTCCACCCAAAATCATCCAGACTCAAGCTACGCCTTTATTATCTTACATGCTAAATACCTTTTAAAATAATGATCTACTACTTACTATACAAGCTCTTATTTAGCCTTCCCCACTGAATTCAACTTTATGTAGACCGTAAAGTAGGTTATTAAAAGTGTCTAGAAGAAGTCTCAATATAAAAAGTCAAGCAATATAAATAAAACTTGGCGAGTTCATATTATTAAAAGCTGATTTTATGATAACGCTAAAATGTATCCTAAGTGTCATTTAGTAATGGACTAAGGAAATATCATATTATATGCGGCAATGTCCATTACAGAGCTGATTAGATCTTACTAACAGTCTCACCTCGACAGGCTAACATTACTTTCCTGAGGATATTTTTCAGCGGCCTCCAGTTAATGATAATTAAATAGGAAGTTAATGCACAGCACTATATAACACTAGAATGTTCAGCCTCTAGCTCCTGTAAAAAATAGTTAAGACAAAGTCATATATAAAGTAGAGAATCAGCAGACTGTTAGTCATGTTCTATCTCTTAGGGGCAGTTTTAAATAGTTATGATGCAATATGCAATAACTTTTTTATGCTGGTCCCATGAAACTTCCTTCACCCAGTCAGGTTAAAGGTGAACAATGACTAGACAGGGTTAACTGAAAGTGACCAGGAACAATTTTATTTCTAAAAATATATTTTTTAACAATTGCGGGTTTGCTGGAAATGACATTATTTGCAGTTTAAAGCAGGAGGTTGCCAACTGGTGGTCTACCGGCCCCTCTGATGCCGTGCAGGCTAGGCCGTCATTGAAGCGGCACGTTGGCTCCGGGGCTACCTCTCACTGACTCAAGTAGCGGCTGTCACAAGGAATGCGCGGCTCTCCTGCAGAGTACAGTGCGGGCTCTGCAGGAGGTGGGGCATCTCATCAGTATCCAGACTGAACAGGCTGCGGGACATAGAAAAGTGGGGCGAAGCCAGGTAATAGTGGCTCAGTGTGGGGGAAGCGGAGGCACGAGGGGGGTTGGGGGCAGTGCTGAAGCTAGGGGGGGCATGTGCCCCGGGCGCCGCCGGCAGGGCCAATGGCAGATATACACACACACACACACACATTTGAGAATATATTTATATATATATACGAGGAAACAAAAAATATGAAAATATATATATATATTTTTTAATTCATATTAGTGGTCCGCGGAATTTACAATTATGAATTTAGTGGTCCATGAGGTCCAAAAAGTTGGCGACGGCTGATTTAAATGACATCTTTTTAATTTCTTTGTACATAAACATTAACAAAAATTTATTATAACAATTTTATTACACTGCATTCATGAATGAATTCTGCAAATTACATATTCAGGCTTCAGTCATACAAAGGGGCTGACAATGCACCTGATAAACAGAGCTGGTTGTCAAACTGAATAATCTGCAGTAGTAGTGGATCCCACTCACCACCCGCACTGCAGTGCCAGAGATGCCTGTGCGTTAGTTTGGCCCTGCTTTGATGTTGTTTTTCTTCATGGCCATTCTAAGTTGGCAGCTGGGTCCCTGAAAGAAATATGAGAACAGCGGGTAATCACAGCACGCTTCAGAGGACTAAAAGGGGCCAAAGATAGTATGAGAAACCTTCTTTGACAATATACCCAAACATTTGCTACACATCAAGGTAACAACAAATTCTTAATTTTTAGTAAATCTAGCTTTTTGTTCGAGCGTTGGAAAGAGTGGGGAAGGATTAGAACGTCTTTCAGGTTCTTGGGTAATATAATGCAGCTTACTGTGGTAGCTGCATTCATTTTTTCATGCCTTTTTCCTTTATATTTAACTAGTGATCCTGTCCTAGGGTGGCAATACTGACTCACTGTACTTTTTCTATGCAGGAGCAAGTTTGTCAGCCTAGGACAGGACTACAGAATATCTCTCCCTCTCCTCTTCTCCATGAGGAGGTGTTCTGTAGCCCACAGAAGTAAACTGGGCAGGTCTGATAACACTGCTTGAAATAACATTGCAGAGTGCACAGGACAGCACTGGATGTCTTACAGAATCAACATATTTTTTTTTTTTTTACTTACAAATATAACAAAGCGCTTTCAATGGTATATTTAACAGACCAAAAGGGAGAAATCAGAGAAGTTTATTGTTAGGTTTTACACATACTTTGCTGCCTTAAATATTATTGCAGGTCAATAAACTGCGGTTATTAAATTTCAAAAGATGAGGCTTCCATTAAAGCCAACCTGTCATGAATGCAATGCAGAGGCTGCCACTGTTAACTGAGATCTAAACAATTCTAGTTACCTGGCTGATCCCATGGCTTCACTACTCTTTGGGGCTAATTTATAAACCTTCACCCACCACCACTAAATGAAGTCGAGGAGCTTAAACATTCCTATCCTCCTCATCTCCATCCAGTGGCCATAGTGCTGTGCGAACGGCATCTGCCAAGCAATACGCTGGTGAGAAGATTCACAAATCAGCCTCTTTGTGTCAAGTTCATTGCTAGGGTTTACTTACACTTTAAGGGTCTGGAATTTTTAAATATGATGGTAAAATGTTGTTGACTTGGCTTTTCCGGTTCAGAAACACTCATCTTAAAGCAAACCTGTGATGTGCTCATACAAATCAAAGCAACAGATTTTCTTTAATGCTCACCTTCCCAGCACCACATACTAACCTTCAGTTTGCTCTCCTATGCTCTCTTCAGCCACCAGGGGCAAAGAGAAAAACTCAATACTTCTGGGTATGGAGGAGCATGTGGTTCACTACCCTGCCTTTCATCTAATGGTTGCTCCAATTAGGGCAACATACCTGCACTTCTTCTTTCCTCACTCCCAAAAGCTAAATAGGGAGTATTGGTAAGGACTTCACCGTAGAAGTGATTTTTGATTTTCTTCGGTCACCCCAATATAAACCACCCTTTTGCCACAATATTTGCTTCGCTTCCTTGGGTGTCCCTTTTATAAATATTTTGTGCAGTTAAATATTTTTGTCTCCTGTGTTCAGAAGACTGCAGATGTATAATTAATGGCTTCCATTGTCATTTTGTTTGCATTTATGTGTAAATGAGATAAACTTCTCCTGCCCTGATCGCAGTACCGTGTAATTATTTCCCACACAGTAAAATGCGCCTTACTTCTGGGTGCCTGATCATTTCCCGCTCATCGCTAATGATGAGGGAGACGAAGTGCGCCCTTTGAGATTTCAATGCAGGGAAACCCCCATTATCAGCTTCATTAGAGAGGTTTATTGAAGTCCCACAGTAAAGATTTTATGCAGACATGTGTTAAAGTGTGTTAAATGCTGATTTTCTGAAAGCAAGTGTAGCGCTCACCCCCGAAGGAGCTGCTGGATATGAATTGAGGTTCTCCTACCTGTTTGCTCCAGCCACCAGCCCTCTTTGGTTAGCAACAGCACACCGACACTCACGGACAGAATGGACTCCAGTCTTATGGTCTTTTTGTAGATTTGCAAAGATTAACAGGAGAGAGGTTTTAGGATCTGTAGGATGCCCTGGTGGATTCTTCAAAGGACTGCTTCCTCCTCTAGCAACCGCTAAGGCCCATAGCAACGGGATCCGGTCAGAGTAACCAATGGTTTCTTCTACAATACTGCGAACAGCCAGGATGGTCCAGTAACTTATAGGAGAAAGGTAGCTATCTCTGGACTCAGGTAAGAACCGCTGGCTTCTTCTAGAACAGATACCTGGAATAGGGTGAGGGATCTCTCTGGTGGGTCCCAGACGGACGCTCTCACCAGCTCCTCTGCGGTACCCCTGAACAAGAAGACTCCACCTCTGGCCCAGCTTCCATCAGGTCTTTTCCTCTTCAGTATCTGGAATCTCTGTGCCCTCAGCATCTGCAACTGCCGAGGAGCACTCCAGATTAGTAGAAGTATCCTCTTAGAACAAGGCACCCTACACCTGCCACGTGTATGGGGCCCAAGCAAAGTTCCTATGGTGTCCTAGGCTTCCAGCACCTGCCATGTGCTGAGGCCCAGGCCTGTTTTTCATCTGCATCACAGAGACCTCCTAGGGAGAGGCCCCCAGAGGGAAGAGAGCTCTGCACAGTGTCCCTAGACCTTTTATTACCTGCCCTTGAGTCGTGCTACTCAGGGATTGGTCAGGGTCAGGTGCATAGTCATATTCTGAGGATGCATCCTCCCTCACTGCATGCCAAGGCTCCCTTTTCCTCAGCAACAGGAGGAGCAATCAAGCCAGCAGACTCAGGGACTCCTATAGAATACAGAGTTCTGAATAATCAGTATCTAGACTGGTTACAATCCAGATATTCACTAGATTTAGTAGTGACAATTTAAGAGGGCGCTACACAAGCTAGTACACAGTTCGCTATGGATTCAGTCAAATGGCCAGGTGAGTTAAAGCACAACTCCACCCTCGCTAATGCGCTTCTCCCAGATTTGGAAATTGGATAATGAAACTGGACAATGAATCAGCATCATCATCTCTGTCCAATTAGCAGCCAGGTGGGAGCAGTAAAGTTGAATAAGTAAGTAGAAAGGTGGTCTTTCTTGCTGGGTAGTGTGGCATATGGCAGGACTGGCTGAACAGAATTAGATATTCTTGGCCAAACAGTTCACATATATCTAGTTCATCTGTGTATTTAGCAGTTGCCTGGAGCTCACCTTTAAGAGCCCCCGTACACTAAAGCGAGGGTCAGCAACAGGTCGATCACAAGCTACCTGTCAATCACGGACATGTAACAGGTAGATTGCAACCTAGCCATGCCACCCCTTTATCAGAAGTAGCAACCTCCTCTCTGACCTCAGATCAGAGCAGAAATAGGCACTGGAGAGCTGAGGAAGTCCTAGGCTTCGCCTTGGCTCTAATGTGTCACATGACATAGCCAAGGGAAGACCAGGGAGGACTTTACACACTCTGCTGGGAGCCACTGCATCGTCGATCTGGTGGCCTTGCTTGGCATCACTCTGGTGATCTTGGATCTCTTCCATGTTGTTTGGGTAGATCTTGACCTCTCCAGGGTTGACTACCATGCACTAGTGATCCACTGCAGTAAAGCAGCTCATAAACTTTAAAAGGACTGCCAATGTATGTCAGCAGATGAAAAAACAGGATCTATACAGCGGGTGATTTGACATTCACTGTAGTCCTAAATGACTGGCACCACAATGTATGGCACAAAGTCATGTTGCTGCGCATACCAACTGTGGTATCATATCACAATTGCTCTGCGTGATCACGTAGCAGTGGCAGCCTCTGTTATGAGAAAATCATGTAGGCTGCAATTGCTAATGATTTATTTTTAAAATGCTAGCTACCTGGTTGGCATGGTGGTGCTATAGCGCTAATGCTTTCAGAGTCACTGACCTGGAACAATTATAGTGATAGGCATTGATGACACTTTTCCAATGCTTATTTTCAGTATGCTGGTTCTGGATGTGTGACTCCAAAAATATTAACCCTAGACAGTCAACAAGCATTTTTTTAAAAGACCAGCAATGGTAGCTCCCATATGTCTCTTATGACAGGGTCACTCTAACTAAGCCATCTTGTTTCAGTTTATCAAAACTGCTCACCTCAGTATGACAGCCACCCAACAAGTTTAGGCAAAAGGTGAACTGTATAATGTGACAGTATAATATTTACCTGCTGAGAGAGCAGCTACTATAAAAATTCCAGTATCTAATCCTGTGTTCTTTGGTCTACTTTTTTCACTGCATCATGTTACAGACAGCTCAGCCCATGAAGGAACAGAATGGCCAAAGCTCCCCCTGCATCACAGGATGCTGAATATCCTCCCGGTTCATATATCGAATCAATTATAAAATGTTAGATCTATTAAAAATATAGCACATGATACAATGTTTTGCAAATCTTGGTGCCTATGCACCCCAGTAATAGGTATTGGAACCCCAATTCAAGGCTCAACCTATACACATAGCAAGCAAAGCTCTTATATGAATACCATTTACCTTAACCCAACAAGTAGTGTACAACAGTACAGAGGGCTGATAAGTGAAAATTGGAGAAAGGAGAATATAGAATAATCACAAAATTGGAGTTTTTGCCAATAGGGACCATTCAACATTCTTTTACTTTTTTTTTCTTTTGCACAAAATAAAAGCTTTAGTGGTTACTTTTGGCAGCAGAATTATGTGTTCACTTTCCACTCTCCAGCGTTAATGAACTATCTCCAGATAGTGCTAGTAAATGTACATCCAATGTTACAATGATCTTAAAAGATGTCCAACAATTTATTAGGGGAGGTTAGGAAATGTTACAATCAAACACAAACATTAGCTAACTTAAAAGAAGAAGCCCAGGTTGTAGAAAAATTAACCCTTGCAGTGTGGCTACCCCATACTGTAAGGGTTAACTGCTCATTTTGGTCTAGGGATGAAAATAAAGAAGATGTACTCACCCGATCCTGGGTCCTGCCTGGCTGCTATACTGGTTCCCGCAGCCTCTTCTCCCCCCCGACTCCAGTGGCTTAAGGATACGTGACGTCATCACGTCTAATACAGTGTACTGGACTTGAAGACACCAAGGGACATATCAGAGCCAGAGTGGAGGGGGAAGAGAGGTGAGCAGTCACTGCTGTAGGGCTGAGGATTAGGTAAGTATTTCTTCTTTATTTGAGCCCCTAGAGAAAAACAAGCATTAACCCTTGCAGTGCCGGCGGGGATGGGGGAGGGGGTGGAAGCGGGGGTGTTAAAGCCCCACTGCAAGGGTTTACTTTTCTACAACCTGGAGTTCTTCTTTAATGAGACCATCTAAATGGACAAACTGACATATTTTCTTTACAGTCCACCCTCCAACCCACTTATCTTTGTTGCACTTCACTGCCCATCGCCAAAACCAAATACTGTCACAAGAGGGAAGCTGTGACCTCATCTACTATGTCAGCTCTGACACTGGATCTTACCCAGAGTTAGGACTGTGGACTGGGTCAGATTGGACTTTAAGAAAAACTGTCTCACTTTGCCCTGCATGAATTAAAACAAACCTTTAGACTTATAAACCTACGGGGTTGGTAGCCATGACCACTTGTTGCCGAAGGCATTGTTAGTGAAGAACTTTGGATTGAGACCCAAAAATATTCCAAACTTGGAATATAACTGCTAGGTTTTTAGTAAATTTGCGTACTGGTACAGCTGCACTGCATCCCGCAATGCAATACTGGTGACTTTTCAAGAGGTAGCACATTCTAATGTGGGATACAATGTGGGGATGCCACTGCCAGCTTATGAAAATACAAAGTTTGCAAACCAAGCTCTTGAGTTGCACTAGGGTCAGTTTTATAAGTTTAAACTAGTGACACATTGGAGTAGCAGTATAAGACTCTGTTGAACACTTGAAAAATACTGATTAAATTAGTTTGGTATTAATTATTGGCTTGCAAAGTCCTTATTGAATCATGCTACTGACAAATCTAAGTGTTGAGTCCATAAGCTTTTACTGACTTCCTACAGTCAGATTAGGAAAACATATCCATCACCCAATTGGTTTCTACAGTATGAATAACTAACACCTTCCTTTAGTTTTGATACGTGTCTTCATGTTGTTCGACGGTTGTCCCTGTTCCGTTTCGGAGTATGTACAGTAGCGTCCATGGTGTTCCGTGTGCACTGAGTATCTCTTGTACAATGTACTAAACTGACACTTGTTACTTTTAGAGTAAATATGATTTTCAGACAGGAGATTGGGGAGAACCTTCCATCAGTCTGCGAGCCCCCAACGAAACCACGGGCTCCATACCCTTCCAGTATTGGCAGCATCACCCCGAAAAACTCATCTTCCAAGCATGTGATTACAAAGCATATGTAAGTATCGCAGCAGTGTCATTCCTTATTATCACTGACTCTTTTAGGTTTTATCATTGATCCGAATTGGACAGGTTTACATATAAAGGTTGCCACCTGGTTTATTGTTCTACTGATAATGAAAGAAACTCGTACTGATAAAAATAAGCAGGCTTACATGCTGATCCAATAGCTTCTGGAGACAAGTATGCTGATCAGGAGATCTGACTCCACTGGCTGCTTACCTGACAGAGGTCAAGGTTACAGCTTGTAACGCTGAGAGAGCTCGCATTTTCAAAAAAGGGTACACAAGGGCAGACTCCACATTTGACATAGCGTGGGTTTCCTTTAAAGCTGATTAACTTTGCAGCACTCGGTCTGCCTGGTAAGTTTTCTTCAACTATGGAGAATTTGCAGCAAATACCAAATTTGTGCTATTATTGCAAAGATTCCTGAAAATCACTGTTTGTGTCCTATATATATTGACTTGCTTGCTATGTCATAAACTCATGATGGTGTTTCTTGTAGCGGTTTGAAGGTGCTCTCTAGTGTATGTATGTCAGAAAGTGCAGTTAGCACCATTACAGAACAACTGCTGAGAGAATACCAGAATTACAGGATAAGATAAAATGCTGTATTGTGTTCAGTAACCATTGTAGGTCTGAACTGATCCCTAGACTTGCATTAAGATAAGAGAAGTAATAAAACACAATTAAGAAGCGAAGCATACATATGTAACAAATACATATTGCTGCCTCAATCTAGTCTGGTTAGCTTACACAACGCTAAGGTCCCTTCTTTGCCCCCAGGTGACAGACATGGGCTAGCCATTTGCATGCTGTAATTGTTGTTTAGTATTACTGTAAAATTGTTGTACACCAGGATGGCCATAGTCTTCAGCTTGCAGTTGGACATGCTGGAGTATGGCCAGGGCTATACGAGCCTGTGTGTGCATGTTGATGTATTCACCAGGGGGTGGGTGGCAGGTAGACGTCTACTGGCGCCAAAGTTTTCCCCACAGAGCATTAGGTGGGAGCCTATACCCATACAGTAGATATGACATCTTTACCCACTTAAGCCAAAGGCTTTCCTTACATGTCCATGGCTAACTTTACTCCTTCTGCCTTAGTGCAAGTCTATGGATAGTCTTGTCAATAGGGTTCAATTAGAAGTGGGTGTGACACTGAGCACAGCCATTACAGCTAAAGCTAAACGCACAGGTTAATCCATGACAATTAACACAAAAGTAGGATTGGTGCCAACCAATTAGATTGTTTTGTTTACTTTCCCAGGTAATGAAAGATTAAACCTGATTGAACACTGTGGGTAACAGCATACATTTAGCTCCAGGGTTCTACTGTCTAGAATACAAAAGACTCAAGGTGGACACGAGCTGCAGAAAGGAAGTCCACATATCTTCTGTGCTCACTGCTCCTCAGTGCGCTAAAAATTAACATGGGGGAAACTTTCCCTTTAAACTTTGTAGAGAAATGTCTTGATGTAGAGCACTGAAACCATGGAGACTTTGAGCTCCATATGACAGAATCCTCATACAAAAGCGTTTACATTTCCTGTGGTGACTTCTTTTTTTGCATTGAGATTGTTTTAAAAGATGTGTTTTTTATTTCCTTTACATTCCTGTATGCCAGACATTGTATGCTGGGCTAGTTACATTTCTGATGTAAGTGTTAACCTCTCATGTACCATAAAGTGTGTTCTTGAAAAATAGGTTGAGGGCCCATTGACACCTATGTGAGCCCGTTATTAGGCATGTTGCTAAGGCGCATTATGGTAGTACTGTTATATTAATTGCCTATGCATCCTCAATGCATTTTTTCTCCAACACATGCAGTGCATGAGCATTAAAAAACAGTTTACAAGAGGCAGCTGTCACCCGTTCAAGTTAGGGATTCCTGCTGCAGGAAATCGCAAGTTCCTTACACATGAATATCTAATTGCACCTAAATAATAGGTGTGAATGAGGGCTTATAGGTCTCACTTACACACACACACACAAACCCTAAAAGTAAAAAATCTGCTTATGAATATAGTTAGAGGCAAAAATGCATCCTAAAAAGTTTTTCCACTGAAAGAGCTGCCATGTTTTCCAAAGTTATAATGGGGTATTTTATGTGCCCTTTTTAGATACAAAACAAAGCACGATTGAATTTTTAAAATGTAATGCAGCATAATTTATCGTATGGTACAGTGCGATTCTCAATGCCTTTTTTTTAAATTTTCAACAGGGAAAGTGAAAAATATGGTAAATTATTTAAATAAACATCGAGGCCTGTAGCATCTCGTTATCATTCAGCGATAAATCGGCATCTACTTACCGTCGGCCTGTCACAACAAATAGCCAAAATCATTCTTGGCTACCACTTTCCATGAGACAGTTCGCAATTAGTCTTTAGCTGTTTTCCTAAACTGACTAATATGGCCGTCACACAGAGCTGGTGTTCGTTGCCTTCTTTGACTACCCAGTTCTGAGATTATAGCTGAGTAATAATCCCTGACTTTATTGCATATGCATGTTTAATTTTATTTAATTTAGTGACTCTCTCTGCTTATTTTTTTAAACATTGAGCCAATTTATATTTTATGGCAAGAAGCCAACATCTGATTCATATGTAAAGGAGAAGCAGCTGTGTGTGCAGGAGAGCACTGGGTATGCTTAGGGTGCTTGCAGAGGTCATTAAAATAAGATGATCTAATTGAAACACAGGTTATTGTTTTAAAATGAGCTTCTGTTAAAATCTTTAAATGTGGCCAGTTAACATTTCTACGTTTGCAATGAATAGGCCAGAACATGACACCATGTAAAGTTTCTATGTCTGTGCCCACCACCTAAACCTCATCATGCTGGTGGATATGGAGGCAGTTTTTTCCTTCTGTAGCCCTGTTTAGAGGGGTAATGGCCACACAGAAGTCCTACATTTTTTTCAATAATTTGTCTTATTGTTAAGTACATGAAAGTAACTACTTTAGATATACCTGATTCTGTCAGGGTTCTAAAGTTGGATTGTAGCATGTGTGGCCAGCTTCAGAGGAAGTGGATGGATCCAAAAAATTGACACTTGATGTGATTCAACTTGGCACAAGTTTGCATTAGCAGATGACATTATTTTTTAAAGGACACTTGCATCTTTAACTTATTTTACCTTGTAGCGATGACCCCCTAGGGAGCCACTGAGTTTAAAGGTCCTTCCTAGCTTTCCCACTGGTGCACTGGCTTTCTGCTGCTGCCCCAACTCTGAATGACCGACATCCACTCTGTCAATTTATGCTTGAAGAATGTATTGGCTCAGAGTCATGGGGAAACAGGATTAGGAGTTACAGGATACCCAAATTGTAGCAGTAACAAATTCCCACAGCTTGGAAATATCTTCAGCCCCTCTAACAGGTTGGTAGTGGGCCTTTGGGTCAAGACCAACAATCTTTTATTGTGTGCCTTTAAGCCGGGATCAGCTGTTACAAAGTTGCAATCTCTTATTAGCCACCTTACTGTGTTCCCCCGGCCCTGGCATAGGCTAATCTCCAATCCTTGGGCCTTGGCTCTGGAACTGTAACCTCCCCCACGCAGCAGGCCTGGGAAGCAAACGACCTCTGTTCACCTTCCCCAGGCAGCAGTCCTGGGAGGCAGTGGCTGGATCCCTCACGAGCACATCCTCTACAGACAAAGTCTGAAAGGCAATGACCCTCCTAGAAGGGCTTCTTGAGTATTTATCTCCTTTCCTAGCCTACATCACAGGTAATAAACCACTTAGTGACTGACTAGGGAAAAATAAATATTCATAACATTGTATCTTCTTGCTCTCCCGTAGAACACTCCCCAACGATAAGCAGAATCAAACCACGTTCTAAACTTAGGGAAAGCCCAAGGAACACAGAAAACAATAACAATCAGAGCTTATGCTGGCTTACGGCCCAGCTGTCCACTAAATTTAGACGAGTGGCACTCCAACCTTGGCAGGGCCGCAACAACCGAAATTCATCCTTCCAACCTTTCTAAGTTGCACTGAACTAAACTCTCCTGCCTCCTCTACAGCTGCTTACTTAGTTTCTTTCCAGCAGTGTGGCTTAGACATGTGCGATTCGGTTCGTTCCGAAATTCGTTTTGGACGAATTTTCGGAGATTCGGAGGCATCCGAATTCCGTATTAAAGCTAAGACGAATGCAAACGAATCCGAAATTCCCGATTTCCCGAAATTCGTTATTGGACGAATTTCGTTGCAGCAAAACGACATGAGGAAAAAAAAAATGACAACATTTTCCCTCTACAACATTTCTATGATTAAATTACAGAGGTAATAGTGTAGTGGTTAGAGGACAGGTTTGCCGTTGTCAAGGTCACAGGTTCTAGGGCAGGGGAGAGTAAAGGATAAAGACTTTTTTTTCTTTGCTTTTAAATTGGTATTCTCCTAACATTCCTACCAGACCTAAAGGGTCTTTTTTTTTCATCTTCTGCAGACAAATGTCATTTTTTTTTTTCCTAATGTAATTTTGCTGCAACGAAATTCGTTATTGGACGAATTCCGTTGCGGCAAAATGGCATTTTTTTTACAGTCTGCAGAAAATGAAAAAAAAAAAGCATGAGGTTTCCCCCCAATTCATACCAGACCCTTTAGGTCTAGTAGGAATGTTAGGAGGGACCCCCCCCTCTTATAACACAAAAAAGTGCGTGGGGTTCTCCCAAAAATCCTACCAGACCCTTAAGGTCTGGTAGGAATTTTAAAGGGGAACCCCAGCCCCAAAAAATGGGGGGGAAAACGTGGGGTCCCCCCTGTCTAAAAAGTCCCACCGCAGACGACCACCCGAACCCGACGAAAACTAGTTGCAAAAAATGACATTCAGTGGGAATGTCAATAGATGACGTCACGGCTCGCTCCACCCATTTGACATTCTCAGCTGTATATCATATATATCAAATGCTGCTATGGTTAAAAGTACAGAGGTAATAGTGTAGTGGTTAGAGGACAGGACTGCCATTGATAAGGTCGCAGGTTCTAATCCAGGGCACG